TATATATATACACACACACGCACACACACAATTGCAAAAGCAATGCATTAAAATATTTGACAAAGCTAGATAGACAAACATTACTTCTCTCTCAATAAAACAGGTACGCGTCTATCAGCATGAATCAGTGAAATATTTTGTATAAATAGAATATACGCGCCGCCGTAAATCAGCTTTTATTACCTGTCATTCTTTTTGCACCTTCTTCCTTCATTATCAAAAATAACGCCCAAAAACCCCAACAATTTCAAATATTATTATGTGCATGATACGAAAACGATAAACCTTTTTAGAATATAACACTTAACATCAGCAGAGACGATACAGTTAACGAAATGGCTTTAAAGAATAATCAACTGTATAACAAAACAAACGAGCAGATCATCTCGTTAGGCCGCAAGATATTATCTTCCATTAACTAAATTAATTGTTTATTTATTTATTTCCCGTAGACAATGGAGACGTTATTATTCTCGGAGTAAAAAAATCAAGATTAAAAAGAAAATTTTTTTCTTCCAACATTAATAGCAGACAAGAAAGCTGGTCTTAGTTACGCGTGCGATAACAGAACGCATAATTTTCTCTTTCCCAGACACATTACCCGCGGGTCGGTATCTAGACGGTCAGAGAGAACGTGTAGGTCGGTATCTAACCGCAGTTTCTGCGCTTTGCCGCCAAAATTATCTGACCAGATAGGCGCGCGGGTCAGATCGAATTCAGAACGGGAGATACAGATGTGTCTACGACGACCAGTAGAGAGAAAGAACTACATTTCTGCACAGGTTTTTCTCGTAATCAGTTCGTCATTTCAAAGCTTTCTTTTTATGTCAGTGTCAAGAATTTCGGAGAATGATGTTTCTTGTTTTTTCGTGTTCTTCTTTCTATTTTTTAAGCTTATTTCTTTCGCAATTCCAATTGTAATGGGTTCTCATTTCTTAGGTTTTGACAGAAGGAATGTGGGGATTGGCGACCGAGGTGAGAAAGGGAAACCCAAGGCTATATGAGAGGCGTGCTGACAAAATGAGTTACTTCTCACAATCCAAAAGCAGAAATTGACCAAAAATCGACACTAAGGACACAATTCTAGGTTTTCTATTAATGCAATGTTCATTGAGAGTACTAAATGTCTTTTGTTATTTCATACTTACAAATTGTAAAAACTTAACCTTTAAGCATGATTATGTATCTATTTTCATAGGTCTCAAATCCGAGAAGTAACTAATTTTGTCATCACGCTTCACATAATATGTGTCTGGAATGTAACCTAGAGCTAATTCTCTTCCCCTCCCACGCAAAGGAAGGGAGTTCCATTCTAATACGAAGCAGATATTTTATTCAATTTCTTTATGGGCAGCTCAAAACCTGAAAGATCAAAAGTATGTCGAAGGTGGTGTGGGCAAAATCAGACAGAACGTATTATTAAAATTTGTTGTTATTGAGTGTGTCGGTACTGTTATTGCTGTCGCTGCTATAGTTATTGTTGTTGTTGATGAAGCTGATGTTGTAGTAGTTGTTGTTACTGCTGTTGCTGTTGTCGATATTGCTGTCATTGCTATTGTAATTGTTTTAGTTTTGGTTGTTGATGTTGTTTTTGTGGTTGCTGTTGTTGTTGCTGTTGTTGTCGATATTTCTGTGACTGCTATTGTTATTGTTGTAGTTTTGGTTGTTGAAGATGGTAAGAAATGCGGCAGCGGTGGTAACCTTTTTGTGCTTGTGCACAGTTCACGGACAACATTCGCGGTACGTTCAGATTCTAGCACAGCCACCTTGCAGCCAGGTGTGTGCGTGTGTGTGTGTGTGTGTTTGTGTGTGTGTGTGTGTGTGTGCGCGCGAGTGCGTGTGTGTGTATGTATGTGTGTGTGTGTGTG